TTTCTGTCATCCTTATTCATTGTTCTGCTCTCAGATGCATAGCAAGTAATTGGAAAGACCATGGCCTGAATCAAACTCACCTTAGTCCTCAGACTGACATTATTACTTCTCAATGATTTGAAGAGGTTCCTAACTGTAGATTTCCCCAGTGCAGTGTGTACGTAGAGAATCCTGTGAACAACAGGCTTGAACCCTGTCCATTCCTCCTTTCCTGTGCCGTCCTCACAATCTCTGATGCATTCAAGTCCATTGTTGCAGTCACTGTGTGAATCCACATGCTTGAGGGTCTTCCTCTCCTTGACTGTCCCGCTACCTTTCCAAGCATGATGTCTCTCTCCCAGGGATAGCCTCTTCTAGCAACATGCCCAAAATATTTGAGACAAAGCTTCACCATCCTTGCCTTCAGGGAGCACACTAACTGCACCTTCTCCAAGACCTAACTGTTTGTTATTTTGGTAATCCATGGCATTACATGCTTGATCACACTATCGGAATCAGTATGTAGCCTAATTCAGTATCTCTCAAGGCATTTTAAAATTATTTGTTTGAATTAAGATGACACTTAAATGTATTCATTGCAATTCTTAAGCCTCTTTTTAGTCTATAAAGTTCCCCTAAGTTCTCTCTTTACTTTTCCCCCCTCTTGAATTGGTTTCCTAATGTTTCCCATTGTTTGGATTTTATTCAACTGTGTGCTTTTTAAGTTTGTTTTTATTCATCTGTTTAGTGTTCCTTTGATTTGAGGAAAGTCTTATTTCTATTTTAATTTTGGAATATTCTCTATCAAATAGCACTTGCAAATGATATTTCCCTTTTTTTATGCTGTTCAAACCAACTAGGTTCCCATTAGATGGGTGCTGGAACATCATTCTCTCTTATATGTGTATTAAATCCTCTTTTATATTTTCTTTCTCTTTAGCTCTATAAACATCTCAGATCTATGTTCTAAATTATTAATTCTTTTTAAAAATATACATTGAGCTTTTAATATCAATGCTTATGTTAATTTCTAAAATTTTATTTACATATTTAAAAAATTTGTGTTTTAAAAAACCCATATGCCTTTTAAAATATTATTGTTGAACATTATAAACATTTAAAAGTCCTTTTATTTCTGACTTTGTGGCTTAAACATTTTTTCCTGAGTCTGTTGCCTCTGTCCCATAGAAGGCAAGTATTATGATATGCTGTGTAATTTTTAGTGGTTAGCTTCTCTTTAGCACTAATCATTTTTATGTATTTGACCCTTCATAGGTCTTTTCATCTTTTCCTTGGCCAGATACTCTAAAATTCACTGACTCTAGCCATATTTTTCTTTCATTCTAACATTTGCTTTATTCTTGTGTCAAAGGAAAAGATGCTCTTCATGAGTATACTTTTATTCTTTATTTGTGAGGTAAACACATATTTTGCTTCTGTCAAATAAAGCTGTGCCTGAGGAATTTTTACATAGGTATCCCCCAGTTTACAACAGGATTTCCTGTTTCAATGGCTCTGCTATAAGTTGGCTATGACATAAGTAAAATTAATAATTAAAAAAAGATATTATTATTGCCTTTTTATATCTAACTGCCTACATGATCCCTCAGACTGGTAAAGACACCAGCTAAAGTCAAGCAGAGTAAATTATGTTCCTCTGAAGCAAGTTTAAACTGTTTCAGGCAAGGTGCCTCACCCCTTGACACACCCTAGTCCAGAAAAGTTACAACCTGTGACCTGACTCACATCTTGGGGCTTCAATCATCTATTATACTAGCAGAAACTCTGACCTGAATGGACATGTCAACTTCAGTCTTTGTAAGAAGGCAAATATACTGTTCCAGGCAGGCAACTGGTTTTCTAGTCTTCATAACATGCATGTTTGTTTTATATTTGTATGCTTGGGTTTTTTTATACTTTGCTCTTAAGGTTATACAACCCTTATCTGTATTGAGGAGTCACTTTTGGGTTACTCCTTATTTTACAGTTTATAAATGTGTATGCTTGCTTGTTTGTAGTTTACTCTTGTGGTTACAGCACTTCTCTGTCAGTTTACTGTACTGAGATGACTTGAACATTGCTGTGATACTGGAAGCTATGCACAAGTATTTCAAATATCGGCAGGATCACCCATGGGGACTTGTTACAGTGGAGCTTTCCAGACTAAGACAGAGTAGCTTGACAATCCACCTCTGAAATAACAGGCCTTTCCTTCAGAGTGGAAAATTCTAAAAAAAATTAAAAAAAATGAGGAGAAGCATGGAATGTACGAGGTATGAATCTAGGAAATTAGAAGTTATAAAGTATGTAATGGAGTACATAAAGATTGAAATTCTAGGTTTTAGTAACCTGAAATGTTAAGTATTGACTTTGAATTAAACAATCAGATGATCTATTATGCTAGCAATGAATGGAAGAATGGTGTTGCATTCATCATCAAGAGGAACATTTCAAGATCTATCCTCTACAACAATGAATGAATAGAAATCCAAAGCCTCTGTAAATTTTCACTGAAATTAATAACAAAATTAAATTAAAAAAAAGAATTAAGTTAGAGTAAGGATGGCAATGGAACCACCTTACCTCTGTAACTTGATTTGTGCCACTATTAGAACCTCTACTCAGAATATTATTGCTTTTCAATTTTTGACTCATGCACTTTTAACTTGTTAGTTAAATTTGTATCTTCTAGGCTGCAACACTTCCATGATACATCTTCAAGGATATGAACATGTACGGCTAAGCACAATTGATAACAGTGCATCTAAATTCCAAAATCAATCTCCATAATAGTCTATGTGTTTCCTACTGCCAAAGGGGCCCTTTAGAGTAGTGAGAGAAGACCTTCACCCTGAAACCCACAGCGTCCCTTTTCAGCAGGAAGTAGCTAAGAGAATACGCCATCCCCTTTTCCTTATGAATCAGGGTGAAGTCTCTCTCAGGGAGGAGTGATAGGGAATGGCAAGAGACACACTGACAAAGGAGATTAATCAGAACTGACTTTGACAAGCACTGTGGCAATTGGACAATTAAAACAGAC